TTCTTTCTTTCTTTCTTTCTTTCTTTCTTTCTTTCTTTCTTTCTTTCTTTCTTTCTTTCTTTCTTTCTTTCTTTCTTTCTTTCTTTCTTTCTTTTTCTTTCTTTCTTTCTTTCTTTCTTTCTTTCTTACTTTCTTTCTTTCTTTCTTTCTTACTTTCTTTCTTTCTTTCTTTCTTTCTTTCTTTCTTTCGTTCTTTCTTTCTTTATTTTCCTTTCTTTCCTTTCTTTCCTTTCTTTCCTTTCTTTCCTTTCTTTCCTTTCTTTCCTTTCTTTCCTTTCTTTCCTTTCTTTCCTTTCTTTCCTTTCTTTCCGTTCTTTCCTTTCTTTCTTTTCTTTCTTTTCTTTCTTTCTTTCTTTTCTTTCTTTCTTTCTTTTCTTTTCTTTCTCTGTTTCTTTCTTTCTTTATTTATTTTTTTCTTTCTTTCTTTCTTTCTTTCTTTCTTTCTTTCTTTCGTTCTGTCTTTCTTTCTTTATTTTTCTTTCTTTCTTTTCTTTCTTTCTTTCTTTCTTTCTTTCTTTCTTTTCTTTCTTTCTTTCTTTTCTCTGTTTCTTTCTTTCTTTCTTTATTTTTTTCCTTGCTTACTTTCTTTCTTTATCTATTTATTCCTTCATTTCTTTCGCTACGTCTTTTCTCTTTCATGTTACTCGCACTCGATAGTCCAACACATGCTATTTTAATGCTCATTAAGTTTTCCCCCTAGGCTACCTTGCATCATGATAACGCGAGACATTTGTAAGACAAACCAATCAGTGATTCACGTTGGTTATATAATTAGTACCTCGTGTCAGCTCAAGAGATCCACGCCCCCTCAATGTTCACCCCTTCCTATACGTGTTGTCCAAACCAATCAAAAAGTCGCGTTGACTGCCAGAGCTGGAAGATTTCCTCCCTTTTCACTCCTCCGTCAAGTCATCTCGTCCGTATCTGGAAATTTGTTTGAAAGAAATTTCGTCGACGGAAAATTGATCGACGGAAGTTTGGTCGAACGGAAATTTGATAGATTTTTTTTTTTTTAAATTGAAAGTTCCTACGATCAAATTTTGCGTCAAATTTCTGTTTTGAACGCATTATTTTGCTTTAATATATTGTATAAACAAACAAATTTCCGGTATCATCAGTTATATTTGAATTTTTGATCACCTAACTTCGATTTGAATAACCCAAAGTATAATATGAGAGGAATGAACACTTTGACCGACCCTGTCAAGTCAATGATTTTTATGTAATAAAAGACCTCGTTGTCGGAGTCGCTTCTGAAATAGCAAGCAGCCAGCCGACTCCAGAGTCGTGCGTCTGTGCAGTAGCGTCACTTTATCTCCGAATCTTCTTCGGTTTAAAAATCTCACATGGAACACAACTTACAATCTTACATTTTATAATATTACATTTTACAATCTTACATTTTATAATATTACATTTTACAATCTTACATTTTATAATATTACATTTTACAATCTTACATTTTATAATATTATATTTTACAATCTTACATTTTATCATTTTATAATATTATAGTTTACAATCTTACATTTTATAATATTATATTTTAAAATCTTACATTTTATAATGTCATATTTTACAATCTTACATTCAGGATCTTGCCACGCCGATATGACTCTAAGGGGACTACTATCTATTTTGAGCTATCCCCCCCCCCCGCTCTCCCCTTCCCCCAAGTATGATTGAGTCCACATTCCCTTGTTCCACAGCTCGCTCTTTTCTACCCCCACCCCCTTTTCCCGACCTCATTTCCTTTTTTTCCCGCCACATTTCCAAAACCCCATAACGGAACTTTCAGAATAAAAAATGTGGGCCCTAACCTACGCCCTTCTCCCCCCCCCACCCCACCACCCCAAAGTACACCAACAAAAAAAAACTACCATGACCTGCTTGTTTGTGAGTGAGCTCACAGCGAACACGCCACCCATAAGATACCTGAGCTCACCAGTGGGAGGGGAGGGGGGAGGGGGGGAACACAAGACGCCGGGAAGAGAACTTGCTCATTCCGGTGTTGAGCTCGCTACCAATGGAGGCGTCCCACAGTTTACTGCTCGTCGCCCTGCTCGCCGCGCTTCAAGGTAAGAGGATCTGGGATTTAGCGTTGGTCTATACGACTTATTCTGTATGGCGTGGGTGACCATGTCCGGAAATTTGATCGAACGGAAATTTGGTCGAATCTTTTTTTCAAGTTCACGCGTTGAAATTTTGCTTCAAATTTCTTTTTGAACGCATTATTTTGTTTTACTATATAGTAGAGGGCGTTCAAAAAGAAATGTCTCGTAAAAACTGAAAAAAGAAAGATTCGACCAAATTTTCGTTCGATCAAATTACCGTCGATCAATTTACCGTCGACGAAATTTCTTTCGATCAAATTTCCGGATACGGCAATAAATAGGCAATAAACTCGAATGACGTGGCTGAGGGCGTGACCGCATTAACGAGGCAAATATCTAAAATGCTATAGAAAGTTGAAGAAAAAACTTTTTAAAAAATCGTTGTTAGTTTGGATAAATCAGAGTGGCTGGCTGAAGTCGTAGAAAGGGTCAGCGAGAGTCAGCGGGACCATTTTTATGTGAAAATGAGCCAGAACGTTGCACCGCGATTTGTTGGCCCAAAACACCAAGTGCAATGCCAGGCAGTTTGCACACTGATTTGTTAGCCGAAACGTAAGAGTCCATTGCCAGTCAGTGTGCACTGTTGTGATCTGTTGGCCGAAACACAAAGTGCAATGCCAGGCAGTTGACACAGTGATTTGTTGGCCCAAACACAAAGTGCAATGCCAGGCAGTTGGCACAGTGATTTGTTGGCCCAAACACAAAGTGCAATGCCAGGCAGTTTGCACAGTGATTTGTTGGCCCAAAACACAAAGTGCAATGCCAGGCAGCTTGCACAGTGATTTGTTGGCCCAAAACACAAAGTGCAATGCCAGGCAGCTTGCACAGTGATTTGTTGGCCCAAAACACAAAGTGCAATGCCAGGCAGCTTGCACAGTGATTTGTTAGCCGAAACGTAAGAGTCCATTGCCAGGCAGTGTGCACTGTTGTGATCAGTTGGCCGAAACACGAGAGTACAAGTGCCGAAGCTGAAGAAGACCTGAAAGCGAGTAGAGAGTAGTGGAATTCACAGTGTTTGTAAGACATGGAGAGGCTGCTAGTTCAGATAATATGTTTGGTGGGTTTTGTGTGTGTGTGTTTTTTTTTTTGTTTGTTCCATTAAAGAAGAACACTTTAAAAATGTATTTTCCTTTAAAAATGCTTCTAGGCTGGGACATAGTCCTTGAATTTAAATTGATTTTTAAAGAGAAACATTATTTTGTTTGGCGAACGTATCAGTGTAAGGATGGGGTCATGGGCGGGGCAGAATAGGTTCATCAACCGAGGTTCCTCTGTGTCACTCTTTTCAACACTCCACACTCCAAGTCAGGTGTGCTCACGTGTAGTTAATGATGAATGTGTTGAAATTAATACATTTAATTGAACATACTACATTCCAACAATGTTTAAATGAATGTTGGTTGGCAGACGGCCAACAAGTAGGTAGGCGTTACCTGAACGACTCACTACAGTGATTTGATAGACATATGGCAAGGAAGAATTTCTTTGTTACACAATGATTGCTAACACACACACACACCACACACACACACACGACACACACACACGACACACACACACACGCACATCATTGAAATATGTGTTTCTTTCGCTTTGATCTATTGATGTTAGACGTAAAGCTATGTCATGTTGCTCAGTCTATTGATGTTAGAAATAAAACTGTGTTTGTCAGTCTATTGATGTAGTAGTAAAGCTGTGTTGCTCAGTCTATTGATATCAGAAGTATTGATACGTTTCTCAGTCTATTGATGTCGGAGGTAAAGCTGTGTTGCTCAGTCTAATGATGTGAAAAGTAGAGCTGTATTCAGTGGCGTAGCTAGGGTTAGGGCCGCTCTGGGCGGGACGAGAATGTTCCCCACCCACCTATTTTCCACAAAAAGCTCGGCAGCTAGCCGAAAATGCCGCCCGTTCCTATAATGGAGTGAAGTGCCGACCGGTCAACTGTTGGTTTGCATTGTCTTGGGAGTTTTGGAAGTTTTTTTGTTTTTTTTAAATACCGGTAACACTGTTTATCTCGATTTTCGAGTATCTAGGGATTTTTGTGTTGTTTTTTTTAAATACCGGTAACACTGTTTATCTCGATTTTCGAGTATCTAGGGATTTTTGTGTTGTTTTTTTTAAATACCGGTAACACTGTTTATCTCGATTTTCGAGTATCTAGGGATTTTTGTGTTGTTTTTTTTAAACTTGAGTTACACTTAAAATGTTAGTGCAACGAAAGAAACGGTGAGAGACACATCACAATTTTATCGCACTTGTAGGCCTACACGTTGAAGAAAACATCACAATAATATGGCACTTTTAGGCCTACGCGTTGAAAAACACATCACAATAATATCGCACATGTAGGCCTACGCGTTGAAATCCACATCACTATAATATCGCACATGTAGGCCTACGCGTTGAAAAACACATCGCTAAAATATCGCACATGTAGGCCTACGCGTTGAAAAACACATCGCTAAAATATCGCACATGTAGGCCTACGCGTTGAAAAACGCATCGCTAAAATATCGCACATGTAGGCCTACGCGTTTAGAGACACATCGCTGATATATATTTAATAGTATCACTGTCACTGTCAGACATTTTGTAATTGTACGATATTACTTGCAACACATAGACACTCAAAAAAATATATGAGCACAACAAAAGCTAGTAAACAATCAAAGTAGGTTGCCATTAAAATGCCAGGATTTGACAGGAATATTTAAGAAGCAAACTGATTAGATGAAGACCAACCAGCCAATCTCGGGGCTTGAATTATTGGGCAGGGTGCTCGACCCTTGGGCCGGTAGATCGGCCCAGTCGTCTCAAGAGGGGTCCAAATGACCCACGAGAATTTTTTTTTCTTCTTTTTTTTTTTAAAGAATGATTTGACGACGTAATATTTTACCACGATTAAAAATTCCAAAAATGCTTGGGCGATATTTTACAGCGAGTAACACCTCGGGAGACCATATTTCTTATTTTCTTATTCAGAACTATTATGTATTTAAAATCTTGCATGTTTCCAGTAATTTATTTGCGGCAGGAATCATAATAATCCATGATCATCTCTTTTTACATGGTTTCAACGATTCTTTCACCATACATGCACGCTCGAGGATATTCGTGTGATTTTTATGGGGTCGGGAGGGTGTGGTAAAGGGTTTAACTGTAAAAGATTATGATTTTCATATAACTGTTACCATTTTTTTTTAAAATAATCATTTGTATTATTAGGAAGAGTTGCCGGTGCCGGTTTGAAATATGACAACGTCACAGAACAAATAATAAACGGACCTTCCCCGGATGTGATCCCCATTCCCAGAGGCAGCTGGGCGCCCCTGGATGTCTCCGTCGAGTTTGATTTCATCAATATCGCAAAAGTGGACGCGGAGAGAAATGAAGTGGAGGTCGTGCTGTGGCAGAGTGCAAACTGGTCTAGTCCGATTTACGCCTGGAACATGACAGAGCCCAACCAAGCCGTTAGCAGGGTATGGCTGTTTTTGTTTCTGTTTTTGTTTTTTTAAATATTAGCTTTGTTAGAAGGCCAGAGGCAGTACACAGCGAGGGCTGGTGGCGTATGAAGATTGTGCAGAAAGGCGAGGGCTGGTGGCGTATGAAGATTGTGCAGAAAGGCGAGGGCTAGTGGCGTATGAAGATTGTGCAGAAAGGGGGAAATCCGCCTGGGGTTGCAACCCTTTTTTTAAAAAATATTTATGTGCGTTATTTTTCGGTCAAATCGAGGTTGTTTTTGTTTGCGTGTGTGTGGAAGAGGGGTGGTAAAAGCATGACCTGTCCCGGGTCGATGAGTTGGGACGTGCGTTATTGTTAGTATTTCGTTTTAATGTAGAATCCAACCCACGTTCACCTAAATGTAATGTTTCTTTGTTTGTTTCCCAGGTAACCGTGCCAGCTCGCTACGTGTGGGTTCCTGACTTCACCGTCATCCACGGGGTCTCCGAGATCGAGTCGCCAAACCTTGTCAGCATACTACACGACGGCACCGTCCACTGGGTCACCTCACAGCGCATTCGTGTCCTGTGCGACGTGGGGGACGCCAAAAACGCTTCCGGCGTGACGTGCACCGTCAAGATCGTCTCCTGGACCCACAACGCCAACGTACTGCGCCTGAACTTTCACCCTTACCGGCCCACTGCCGACACGGCCAACTACTTCCAAGGGTCTCGGTACGAGCTGCTCAACACGACGGTCACCAAAAATTCGATGATGTACCCCTGCTGCGCTGAGGTCTTCGAGGACGTCGCTCTGACCTTCTCGTTCAAGGAGAGGGGCGTCGAAGCGGCAGAAGACGCGGACGCCAGCTCGTCCGCCCTGAGGTTGACCTCCTCCACGATAGCGTTCATTCTCGCCCTCTGTTTCGTTGTTAGCTTAAGGCGTAATTAATAGCATTTCAAGCATTGTTTTTTAATCTTGCCATTATTTAACACTATGTCAGGTTGCTGTTGTTGTTTTTAAATGTGGGGTTCGGTTTGTTAAAAGTGTGGGGGGAAGGGGGGGGGGGGATCGGAAATAAGCTCACGGGGAATGGTGGACCCAGACAAAAAAGAACATGGAAACGTAAAGGGTAACATGGTGGCGTATTATCAACTTTTATTATAACTATTTTGCTGTCCGATGGCATGGGAAAGGGGGGTGTGGAGGGGCGGTCGTCCCGGTTGGCAGTTTTTTTTTCTTCTTCTTTCTGCTTTACATAAAGGGGCGCAATTTTCAGCCGACTAAAGTTTTATTTATGTGTCAGGGGTGGGGGGTGGCAAAAATACTGACCCGCCCCTGGCGACACGCTCCCTAGCTACGCCACTGTCGCTGTTAATTTCCAACAACGAATTAGGCTCATAGAGGGGTCCGCCCCTGATAACCTGCTATTGTTTTGATAAATCGTTTGTTTGGCAAATAGTTTCAAGACGATAAATTGCAACCATTTGTAAACACCCTGAACTGGTTGATTTCTATATAGGCCAAAAATGTTCTATTTAATTAACACGTTTCCCTTCTCTAATGTAGCTTATAATTATTATAAAAAACGAAGTCACCCTTTCTATGGAGAGTATTAATGATGCACACACTTTTCTAATTATGCTATTGTAGATACCAGCAGGGGGGGTCGCTGCCTTGAGATGTGACATAGATGTTGGGGGGGTTCTGCCATGTTTGGATGACGCAGATCAACTTTAATTCCCAATGTTCTTGGGAACTGTTAGTCACGTGAACATTCAATCTAAAGATAGTATATGTAAACATTTGGCAACACATTGATTCAGTTGACAAGAACTGAGAAGCTCTCAAAGGGAAACTATTCTTCTATGCATTTATTTATTATCTCCCATTCCTTTTCATAGCGTGTGGGCAATGCGTTGTTTTTTGTTCTTTCCGTCTCTCCTTCAGTGGTCATATTTATAAGCATGTGGATTGTATAATCTGTTTTCATCTTTTCAACCTTCAAACACAAGGTGAATTTTCATTTCGTATATTATCATTTCACGATATAATAAATCAACATATTTCTCGTTAGCCATCAATAAATATTCCATTTCTCTAACTAATATGTGTCGAGCTCATTGTGTTTTACATGTTATAAATACCTAAATATCAATTCTCAATATCTACACATCAATTGTAAATACCTACATATCAAGACCACACAGATACAGGACCACCGTCCAGCCGACCACGCTGATATAACATAGGACCACCGTCCAGGAGACCACGCTGATATAACATAGGACCACCGTCCAGCCGACCACGCTGATATAACATAGGACCACCGTCCAGCCGACCACACTGATATAACATAGGACCACCGTCCAGCCGACCACGCTGATATAACATAGGACCACCGTCCAGGAGACCACACGGATCTACAGCATACAAGACCCCCACCTCGGAGACAACAATTTTAAGCATTGCTCAGCAGTCACGTCCTGGGCCACAAGTCGGCAACGCAAGAGTCTGGAGCCACATGCAGCTCGTTGAATAAATTTATGCGGCTATATTTTAAAATAGATCTACACTGACATACGGCTCCCACAAATAGTTTCTTAGCCGATACAAAATTAAATATCAGCTGTATTGGGTAAGCGCCGCCCGCGGCAAGAATTTTACGCCCCCGCCTTAGCTCCACGAATAATGCCGCCCTTAGAACTAAAGAATTAACTTCCAGGATGGCTTGGACCACCCCTCCTTCCAGCACTAGTGGTCCGTTTCATTGTCTTATCCTGGTTCCATACCAATCTGATTCAGAGTGTCATCTTTACGGGACGACTGCCTATGCTCACACCAATCTGATTCAGAGTGTCATCTGTACGGGACGACTGCTTATGCTCATACCAATATGATTCAGAGTGTCATCTTTATGGGACGACTGCCTATGCTCATACCTAGATGATTTAGAGTCATCTTTACGGGACGACTGCTTATGCTCATACCAATCTGATTCAGAGTGTCATCTTTACGGGACGACTGCTTATGCTCATACCAATCTGATTCAGAGTGTCATCTTTACGGGACGACTGCCTATGCTCATACCAATCTGATTCAGAGTGTCATCTTTACGGGACGACTGCCTATGCTCATACAATCTGTTTCAGAGAGTCATCTTTACGGGACGACTGCCTATGCTCATACCTAGATGATTTAGATTATGAGAGTCATCTTTACGGGACGACTGCCTATGCTCATACCAATCTGATTCAGAGTGTAATCTTTACAGGATGACTGCCTATGCTCACACCAAGCTGATTTAGCGTGTCATCTTAACGCAGGGGTCACCAAAAATTTTTTGGCGGCGGGCCGGATAACGGAAAAAAAATGATCAGCGCGGGGTCGGATAATCCTTCTGTACACTTGCAAGCCAGAACGAAAGCTCCGGGGGAAAAGACGGAAAACTAAGTTTAGTTTCCATGTTAATCATGGGTGAATGGTGTGCAATGCAAAAGAGCAAAGTGACCAACATATTTGTTTGCTAAAAAAGTTAGCAAAGAAGGCGACGTTAGCAAAAAGATAGTTACATCAGACCTATCACATATTCGAATCTCACAAACTAAGCAGCAATAAAGGTTGGTGATATTTGTGAAACTGACCTTTCAAGATATCACCAATGTTTGGTTTAAAATTGTTGCATCCAATCAAAAGAATTGTTTTCAAGTGTTCATCAATCCCTCTCGTTCGATGTGTTGACTTCACATACTTAATTTCTGAAAATGTTTGCTCATAGACATAAGTTTTTCCATTGCATGCTGAAAACGAATGCCCACTCTTCCGTATTCTGAAAGTACGGATGCAGTGGATGACCAAGATGTTCTACGTACCCATTTCTGGTCGTCTTGACATAGTCTTGCCACTGGACACGGTGGGTCCGGACGAGAGAGTGAGGTTGACGCTGCGCAACTCTTCCTCACTTTAAAAAAAAGTCACCCGCGCAAGTCATCAGTCATCCAACTATGTCAATCATCTCCAGCATTCCCCGTCACAAACGGTGTAAAACAGGGTTGTGTTCTTGCTCCCACACTCTTCAGTATTATGTATTCCGCAATGCTGTCTGATGCGTTCAAGGACTCCACCATGGGCTTGCCAATCCGGTTTCGTACTGATGGATCAGTATTTAACCTTAGGAGGCTTCAAGCTAAAACCAAGGTCAAACATACCACGATCAACGAGCTTCTGTTTGCAGACGATTGTGCCCTTAATGCTCCATC